CCTAGATGATAAGGAAAAAGGTAGCATTCTTGCATTGTGCTACTCCAAGATGTGATTTGTTTAGTTTTAAGTTTACAACTACATGAATCACCCTCATTTGTTAAGCTCTGATTTTATTAAGTTATAGTTATGTGAAGGGGTGGGCTTCCAAAATCCCAGCAACTGGTTCTCTGCCCAGTTGCTGGGTGGGCGCGGCCATGGTGGGCGTGGCCTACTGGAACTTCCAGAATGGCCGTTTTTCTCCTTCCCCAGAATCCGGAGGCTTCCCTCGGGCCTCTGGGAGGGCGAAAACGGCCTCCCCCGGGCTCCGGAGGCCCTCTGGAAGCTGGAAACAGGCCCGTTTCCGGACTTCAGGGAGGGCCGTTTTTCGCCTCCCCCAGAGCCTCCGCGCAGATCCTACACTTATCTGCATCCAAACTGGGCCACATGGAGACTCTTGGGAGGGGCAGGACGGGGTGGGCGGGGACAGCCGGTCAGTTCAACTACCAGTTCAGCGAATCAGATATAAATTTGACATCCGGTTCGCTCGAACCGGCCCGAACCGGCCCAATCCCACCCCTGGTTATGTGTAATAGTTTTAAGTCAGAGGGCTGCCTCTGATCTTTGAGTGATTCAAGATGTAAGCAAGGCTAAAATATTAAAAGAGCCAGTTTAATTCAGTGGTTAAGGTATTGACTTAGAAACCAGGAGACTGAGAGTTCTAGTTCCATGCGTGAAAATGGCTGGGTGACTTTGGTCTGCCCTACATAACTCAGGCCGACTCACCTGACAGGATTGTGTGGGATAAATAGGAGGAGGAAGGAGTATGTTTGCTGCTTTTAGTTGTCTATGAAATGCAAGATAAAAATCTAGAGCTTAATTGTTAATTAAAATAATTCACTATAATATAGCTGAGAGCTTTTATCTATAAAAGACACCATGAACTCCGAGTTCTAGTCTTCCCTTAGACATGAGGCCAGCTTGGACCAGTCCGTCTCTCTCAGCCCCAGGAATGAAAAATAAAGGCACTTCCAAGCTGGGGAATTTATCCATGTAGTCACTAGGAGTCAAGATTGACTTCAAGGCACAGGGGGGAAAAAATAGCTATATAGGAAGTCCTCGACTTAAAACCAAAATTGAGCTTGGAGTTTTGGTCATAAGTTGTTGCATTTGTAAGTCAAGTCACCACATGATCAGAGTCATTTTTACAATGGTCATTAAATGAGGTATTGCAGCTTTTATGCAACTTACACGGTCATAAGTCCAAATCCAGCTTATCCAATGGGTGTTTTTTGCCGGAAAATGGCAAAAAAAAATTTAAAAAAATATATCACAAAATGAAATCACGTAGCCTCAGGATTCTACAACCTGTCGTAAATGCGAGCCAATTGCCTAGCGCCAGAAAGGCGATCATATGACTGCAGGGACTGTACAGCAGTCGTAACTTTAAGGACGGGTCATAAGTAACTTTTTTTGAGTCCATTGTAATTTTGGTCATTAAACAACTGGTTTGGAAGTCAAAGGCTACCTGTAATTTACATATTTAACCATTTTTCCTTCTATTAACAATAACAGTTATAAATTGATGATCATTTTGGAGGAGCTATTGGCTGTCCCTAACACTTTGGAGGACATAATACTGTCCTCAGAGGCCCCTTAACGTAAACCCCAGTTTAGTTTTGAAAAACCATAGTTAATACTTGTGTATGGGTGTGTGTGTATATGCAAATCTCCTATATTTTTAACTCCAAACTCATGGTAGAACTAGATGAGGTTTGATGTCACTGTAAGTCTGTTGGTGTCAAGAAATATTCTGCTGTTTGCAAAATGATTCATCTTCACTTCTGATCACATGCCCAGCCATTAACAGGAAATGTCAGGGATGTGTAAGAAGCAATGGAAATTTGTTTGAAGGTTTTGTCAGGCTGATAATATTGTATGGCACATTTTTCCTCCATGGAGGTCAGCATTTGTTCCTACCCCTCATCTTTCATGAAATCTGAAATGTTATTTCTGCCACTATTATCAAAGTATTGCATTCACTTCGTTATAGATACTGTTCCATTGAGTGTTTTCTGGTGGTTTTTTTTCTTTCTTTTCATTTGTGACTTCTAAATACGCTTAGTTCTGATGGGGATTTTTGGCAGACTGAAAAGCAGAGGCGATGGTGATCAATACAGGTAGTCTTTGACTTAAGTTACGACCACAATGGAGCCCAAAAATTCCAGTTGTTAACTGAGACATTTGTTAAGTGGGTTTTAACCCATTTTGTGACCTTTCTTGCCACAGTTGTTAAGTGAATCTCGGCAGTTGACAAGTTACTAACCTACTAATCTGGCTTCCCCATTGTCAGAAAGTCGCAAAAGGAGATCCTGTGACTTTGGGACAGGGCAATGGTCATAAATATGAACCAATTGCCAAGCATCTGAGTTTTGATGACATGATCATGGGGCTACTTCAAAAGTTGTAACTGTGAAAAACAATTGTAAGTCACTTTTTTCAGTGCTGTTGTAACTTTGAATGATCACTAAATGAACGGTTGTAAGTCGAGGACTACCTGGAGTGAAGAACTGGTGAGTAGACCAGCTCTTCAGAACTTTTCTGGACAAGGAGAGGAAGGGAGATCGCCCACATGAACTCTGAACAGTTGTTACTTTCAAAGAGACCACAAGACAGTAGTCCGCATTGGGTTTTGAGCACTGGGAGACAATGGAAATGGTTCACAACTTGTGAACGTCTTGCTCACAACTACAGTCAGCACCTTTTAAAAGACACTATCTTCATAAACTTCTTTTTCTAATCACATTTAGAAATCACTTGTCAACTACTTTTGAGATATTAGAGACCTAAAAATACACAATTGTGAATATAACAACAGCTAATAATTGGAAATATAAAATGACAAAAACTATTTTAACATTGAAAACACTAAAAGATATGTAGAGAAATGGAATCAGAAGTTAGTAATGACAGCATCAAACTTTGCTTCTGTGGCCAGACTGTGCCCAAAAGATGTTATAAAAGAACTGGAAAATCAGGAACATGTTTTATTTGACAAGACAGAAATGGCATCGAAAGTGGATGTGCAAATAATTACAAGAATGGCATGAAAGAGGATGTCTCACTGCACATATAAAAGAAACTGGTTGACGCTTTAAAAATCCAAGAGGAAATACAAATAATAAATCAAAATTCAGTCACAGTTTTGTTCCATATAGCACCAACTTCATGAACGCTCATGTTTCCTCTTTCTGCTACGTATTCAAAATGGACAGTGATTAATATATATATGTATATGTATATGTATATGTATGTATATATGTATATATGTATATGTATGTATGTATGGGTGCAGATACCTGTGTATATGTGTATTATGTACGTGTTTGGATAGATATATACTTTCTCTTAAGAGCAGGCAACAGAATTTCATTTTTAATTTGGGCCAGTGTGCTCACAATAAAAAAAAAAGACAATAAAGTTATCTATCTTACCTGAAAGAGTGACCTGAATATATATATTTGTATTGGATTTACAAAAGAGTCTTGTTAATTTTTTGAAGAATCTTGTGAGAAGAATCAAGAAAAGAAATCAAACTATACCATTATTTGAATGGATGAAAGATTAAGATGGTTAGAAGTAAAAAGAAGGAATATAACATTAGTTTCTTTGATCAAGTTTAAATTAAGATATGTTGCTACTTCTGGCTACCCTTTTTGGACTTTCTGCTAGAACTGAAATCATGATGCCTTATGGATTTGTCTATAGATAAAACATGGATGAACTAAAGAACTAAAAGACGGTGAAGCGTTACAAAAATATTTTATATTTTGTTATGATGTAGGTTGGAGGTAATTTTTTATGTTTTCTTTCTCTTAACTATATTCTTGCTTTTCTTCTTTTTTCTTTTTTTTCCTGACCTTTGTATTTTCATTTTTCCTTTCTTATTATTAGTTTGTATTACATTTGACTATTGTAACTGAAATCCTTAATAAAAATTACATTTATTGGAGGTTTTTTTTCTGTTTTGCCTTGTGGTTAAGTGGTTACGCTCTTGTACATTTTTTGTGAAGTTGTTCCCTAAATTTCAAGATTCTGACAACTAGTTCCCTCTTGGTATTTCTGCTTTAGTTTCTATCCCATTTTTCACTCACTTAAGGAAGTCTCATTGCATTCAACCACAGTACGGCTTTAAGAATACAGCAGTGCAGTTGGAAGAGTTAGTTAGCTTGTTTCTCACTTGTTTTTGTGTTTCAGGATTTGGGTCCAAAAATGAATAGGCTTAATTTGGTGCAAATCCTTCTGTGAAAGATAAAAGAGCCTCGGTCTCTTCTGCATCTGCTTAACCAAGTTTGATTGAAAAACAGTACATGTGTCAGCGTTGGAAGCCATTTGTTACTTGGAAGCTTCGAGGCTGCCACATTCGGTGCCTGGGAATTTGGGAGGGGGGATTTCATAGTGAGGTATAAAGATTAGACACAGCAACATTCTTTCTCAGAGAGTCAAGGACATGTTACCCTGCACCTGGAGGGGAATGAATGGAGGGATGTCTCCAGTTGGGATGAAGATTTGATTGAGCCATGTGATGGACAGATGGACGCTGGGGATGGGTCTTTGATTTCTCTTTTGGGAAGGGCAAACCTGGAACTTTCAGATTCGGGGTTTCCCAGATGTGCCAATATGACAACTCTAATAAAATGGAACTTTGAGGAAATGTTTGTCTCAGAGTTTATCGGTTTGGAGTTGGTTAGTTGGAACACTGACAACATGGCCCAACCCTGGTTCTCTCTTCAGACAGGAAGTTAGCTCTTTCTGTGGGGATTATGAATCTCAGGAACAGAAACATTTCTATCTCATCCTGCCATTAAAAAAAAAAAAGTAGGGGTCCATGTGGAGACCAAGCTTCACAAATAACAAATATGCTTCCTGTTTCTTCACCGCTTCTTTGCAGCCAAGGTCTGATGATCTTCCCTGGTTTGTCTCGGCAGGTGAAACCCCGTATCGTCATGGAGCAATTGCTCTGGGTCAGTGGCGGCGCAATCGGGGAGGTAAATACCTTCAGGATCCCTCTCATCACAGCGACACCTTACGGCACCCTTCTGGCTTTTTCGGAAGCCAGGAAGGCTTCTTCTGCTGACAGCGGAGCTAAATTCATAGCCCTTCGCAGATCACTAGACAAAGGTTTGTGAGACTTAAGAAGCAGGAGGGATGGGAGGTTTCTGTCTCGGTGGTAGATGGTAAACGCCTGAAGAGCTTTAATTCTTGGGGAAGAATAGAATGGAATGGAATAGAATGAAACAGGAATGGGAATAGAATGGGAATAGAATGGAATGGAAAATGGAATGGAATGGAATGGAATAATCAGACTTGGAAAGGACCTTGGAAGTCTTCTAGTCCAACCCCATTCTTAGGAAACCCTGGCCTACACCATTTCAGACAAATGGTTATCCAATCTCCTCTTAAAAACTTCCAGTGATTGCTGAATTCATCCAGAATCGCAGGGCTCTAAGGGACTTCAGGGGTCTTCTAGTCCAACCCTCTGCTTTTACAGGTAGTCCTCAACTTACGGCCACTATTGAGCCCAACATTTCTGTTACTAAATGAGACGGTTAAGTGAGATTTGCCCCATTTTACGAACCTTGCACCTTGCTTGTCGCCGTTAAGTGGATCACTACAGTTGATAAGTTAGTGACCTAGTTGTTAAGTGAATCTGGCTTCCCCCTTGAGTTTGCTTGTTGGAAGGTCACAAATGGGGATCACATGGACCTCAGGACACAGCAACGGTCATCAATATGAATCAGTTGCCAAGCGTCTGAATTTTGACCACGTGATCATGGAGGGAATACTGCAAAGATCGTCACTGTAAATTGTAACTTTGCAACCTTTTTTGCCACAGTTGTTAAGTGAATCAGTGGTAAGTCAGGGATTATCTGTACAAGTCAGGTGATGAAGAGACTGGATGGGAATGGACATCATCAAAGCTCAGTGGTTTGCATTCCTTAAACCCCATTTAAAACAGGAGCTGAACAAAAAAAATATTACTAGAGCATATAATTATTTACTTCAAGTAGAAATGGAGGAAGAGGTAATTAAGGGTCCGATGACCGCTTGGGCACAAAATGTAGGTCACAACATACAGTTAGAAGATTGGGAGAAAATGTGGACCAAGAACTGCAAATTAACAGCATATAAAGAAAATCTTATCAAGATGTTTTATAGATGGCATTTGACACCAGCGAGATTGGCCAGGATATATCTGAATATGAACCCACACTGCTGGAAATATAAGCGAGTAGATGGACCATTACTACCATATGTGGTGGCAATGCCCCAAAGCCAAAAAGTACTGGGGGAAAAATGAGGAGATGGATAAGAGAAATTACAGGGTACAATATTGAATTTAAGCCAGAAAACTTCTTACTGGGGATGATTAAAGGAAATCTGGAGAAACCCACCCAATACGTCGTTCAACATGTAATAACAGCGGCGAGAATCGCTTATGCCCAAAACTGGGAAGTAGATGACATACCCTCTGAAACCCTGGTAATTAATGAAATACTTGAGTGTGCCGAGATGGATAGGCTTACGAGAAAACTAAAAGGAAAAGAGGAGTCAGAGTTTTATGAAGTCTGGGAAATGTTATTTATATGCTTAGAAAAAAAGGGATAAGATTTGATATGAAATAGAATTGTAAATAAAATGTATTTTATTCATAAAATTGTAATGCTTGACACAGAACTGTTAAAACATAAATACACATGTATTTTGAAAATAAATAAAAGTTGAACAAAAAACAAAAACAGTAGCTGAACAAAACTATGACACTGTTTGGTTCCAAGATTTCAGAGAGCCGGAGAGAGGTTTTTAATCTTTCCACCACAAAGGATTTTGCCTATTTAAGATATTTATATGGCTGCCCACCTTATAGGTAGTCCTCAACTCACAGCCACAATTGAGCCTAAAATTTCTGTGGCCAAGTGAGATTGTTGTTAAGTGAGTTTTGCCCCATTGTGCGACCTTTCTTGCCACCGTTGTTAATTGAATCACTGCAGTCGTTAAGTTAGTAATATGGTTATTAAGTGAATTTGGCTTATCCATTGATTGTGCTCGTCAGAACGTCACAAAAGGCAGTCACATAACCCCGGGACACTGCCACCATTATAAATACATGCCACTTGCTAAGTGTTTGAATTTTTATCACATGACCACGGGGGAATGCTGTAATGCTGTCATAAGTGTGAAAAACAGTCATAAGTCACGTTTTTTTTGGTGAAGTTGTAACTTTGAACGGTCATTAAACCAATTGTTGTAAGTCAAGGACCACCTGTATACATTAAAATTCAGAGTGGCTTATAACAACCATAAATATATGAAAAATAAAAACCAGAACCTTGGAAAATTAAAAAAAAATAAAATATGTTACTCCGGCTAAGGTAAAGGTAAAGGTTCCCCTCGCACATACGTGCTAGTTCAGGAGGAATTCTGGGAGTTGAAGTCCACAAGTCTTAAAGTTGCCAACGTTGGACACCCCTGTGCTAGTTGTTTCTGCCTCTAGGGGGCGGTGCTCATCTCCATTACAAAGCCGAAGAGCCAGCACTGTCCGAAGACGTCTCCGTGGTCATGTGGCCAGCATGACTAAACGCCAAAGGCGCATGTAACGCTCTTACCTTCCCACCAAAGTGGTCCCTATTTTTCTACTTGCATTTTACATGCTCTCGAACTGCTAGGTTGGCACAAGCTGGGATAAGTAACGGGAGCTCACTCCGTTACGCAGCGCTAGGGATTTGAACCGCCGAACTGCCAGCGTTTCTGATCGACAAGCTCAGCATCTTAGCCACTGAGCCACCACATCTCTAAGAAGCCATTTTAATAATCTTATATAATATAATAATAACTGTCAGGATTCCAGCAGTTCATGAGTTGAAAATAACTAATATTACATAATATATAATAATATATAATAAATTAATATATAATAACATAATAACTCCAGCTAAGAAGCCATAATAATCCCCTATCAACTACATATCCAGTTAATTTAAATTATCCCTGTTGGAAACTCAATCAGGGCAATATAACTCTTGCTAAGTAATCCAAGAGGAGGCTGGTATCTGATTGAAAAAGCCCAGCAGAGAAACTTAATCTGTGATCTGTCTGTCCTTCTAGGTGCTAACTGGAGTCCAACTTCATTCATAGTTGATGATGGTTCCCTCATAGACGGCCTCAGCCTCGGAGCTGTGGTGGTAGATTGGGAAAAGGACACTTTGTTCTTGGTATATACTCTCTGTGCACACTACCGTGCATGTTCCACTGCCAGTGTCATGATCATTCGCAGCTTGGATGACGGGATCACGTGGAGCCGTCCGCGGAACCTCTCTGAGGAAGTTGGCACGACCATGTTTGCCCCTGGACCAGGCTATGGCATCCAGGTGAGCCTACACCTCAAAGGTAGAGGCGGTAAGAATGATTGTGCTGAATTTATTCTTGCCCTGTGTTTTTTATATGTGTCACAATGATGACGTGGGACTGGAAACGGAACAGAGCCCGTAACAAGCATTGATCCTTATCAACTGCCATTTTTTTTTACAAAAGAGCAAATTGCTGCCACCCCTTCCGGCAGGGGTGGGATTCTACCGGTTCGGCCTGGTTCGAGCAAACTGGTAGCTCCGAAGATCAGGTGGGAGCAAACCGATCGGCTGTCACAATCAGCTGTTGGGCCCACCTGCCCACCCCGGCTCGATTTATTTCTGGCTTTTCCAGCTCAGCTGCTTCACGCGGCACAGCGGAGCGCGCGCTCACCAAACCAGTTGAATCCCACCCCCGCCTTCCAGATAAACAAGTCAGCAAATAGGAGCAGACGAACGAATTCTACTTTGTTGTAAGGCTACTTTAACAAAATCTGCAAGTCTGAAAGTACAAGTTTCCACTGTTACTTTCATCTGCTTGATAGCAGTAGAACTTAGACTTATATATCACATTACAGTGCTTTTACAGAGTCAGCATATTGCCCCCAACAATTTTTGGTCCTCATTTTACCCACCTCGAAAGGATGGAAGGCTGAATCAACCTTGATCCATTGGGGTGGGTCCTTTCTAAGTTTCTTCCTCTGACTGTTAAGCCACTGAAGCTCCTGCCTCTCTTGTCTGATTATCTGTAGAGATTCTCAGTCATGGCGGGTCATGGTTGTCCCCAAAGGTGCTTTTTTTCAGGAGGCAACTGGACTTTCTTGTTTTTTTCTTTTGAAGACGTTTCGCTTCTTATTCAAGAAGCTTCTTCAGCTCTGGGAGGATGGTGGGGAATGGAAGGATTTATATTCCTTTCAGACAGCTGGTCATCTGCCTCCTTTTAGAGGGCTGTTGAAGCACTTGGAGGTTTATCTGTATCCTCGTTGTCACCTGAATAGTGCAAATGGTTCCTGTAGTCTGCAATTTTTTTCTCTGTCTATCTGTCACTATCCTGTCAGAGCTGAAGAAGCTTCTCGGATGAGAAGCGAAATGTCTTCAAAGAAAAATAAGCAAGTCCAGTTGCCTCCTGAAAAAAGCACCTTCGAGACTCTGGTTGTCTCCCAGGCAGCATCTCTTCCCCTCCTTTCCCAAGGTCATTCACACATACCATCCTCAAGCGGCAATATGGAAAAGCATGCAGGTCTGGTGACAGGGGGTTTGGGTGGATTGCCAGTACTTTGCAGAACTTCCGCCTTCTTTATTTCCCCTCCTGTGATCAACACAGGCTTGATCCTAACAAGAGTTAATACTTGTGTTAACCCCACTCCTGTGATAAAGATAAATAAATACTTATAGCCTTCTATATCATGGAAATGTCCACCCGTTATGCAAGTTCTTGAACTCCTAGAATCACGAATTGTAGAATGTAATTTTGGAAAGGATCTTGGAGACTAATCTAGTCCAATGCTTTGCCTACTGTGGGAATCTTCTACTACACCAGGGGTGGGCAAACTACGGCCCGCGGGCCACATCCGGCCCGTTGGTCTTTTTAATCTGGCCCGCTGAAGATTGGTACAGAATTAAGGTTTGATGTGAATGATTGAATGATTGCATTCATTTGATTTTGACTTGTAATGACAGGCATTTCGACACCAGGTGACGCATTAGGCGCAGTGACTTGATTTTGCGGAGATTTTGCAGTTTTTTATATGTATCGTATCTTGTGCTGACCTGGCCCGTCTGTCAAATTTTAAAAGTCAATGAGGCCCCCGAGCCAAAAAGTTTGCCCACCCCTGTACTACACTATGTTGCTGTTCAGTTACTAAGCCATATCCGTCTTGTCATAACCTCGTGGACCATAGCACGTCAGACTCCCCTGTCCTCCCTTATCTCCTGGAGTTTATCCAAATTCGTGTTTATTGCATTGATTACACTATCTTAACCATCTCATCCTCTGCCCTCCCTTTCTCCTTTTGCCTTCCATCTTTCCCAACACCGGGCTGTTGTCCAAGGAGTCCTTCCTTCTCATGAGGTGGCCAAAAGTATTTGAGCTTCAGCTTCAGGATCTGTCCTTCCTAAAAACAGTCAGGGTTGATCTCCTTTAGGATCGGCTGATTTGATCTCCTTGCAACCAAGTGACTCTCAGAGAGTCTCGTCCAGCTCCAACTACTACAGGGGTTCCCAATCCTTGGGCCGCGGCCCAGTCAGAACCAGGCTGCACAAGTGGTGGGCAAGCGCGTGCACGCAGTTCCACTTGCACGAGTGAATGGGATAGTGGGTGCTTGTGCTCAAAGCTCCATTTGCGCAAGGGCAAGTGCAAGTGGAACTATATGTGTGTGCCTGCCACTCACACAGAATTATTTCCTCCTTCCCCCCCTCCCCCAGCCAGGCCATCTAACTGGAAAAGTTGTGGACTGGTGAACTACCGTGTTTCTCATATAATAAGGCCAGGTCTTATTTTTTTTTGAGCCCCGAAAAAATGGCTAGGCCGTCTTTTTGGGGGTGACTTAATTCCCCCCCCCCTTGCATCTTCGGGCGGGCGGGCAGCGATGGCTTGGATGTTGACCTCGGTGTTGGTGGGGCACTTCGTATCAGAGTCAACGCAGGCAGCACCATATCCGGGTGTGCAACAAAAGTACTTCCTAACGGCAAGCCCCCCCACCATCCCCCCCATTTCGCATGGTTTAATATAGGCCTTAATTTGGGGGGAGGGGCTTAATTTCATTTCATGCCTATAAAACATGCTGGGATTTCCTATTGGGGGAGGCCGTATTGTTGGAGAAACAGGGTACATTATACCTGATGGTGAACTATCCAGCCATATCCAGAATATGTTTAATCGTCTTCCAAGAAGACTCAAGAGTTAATCATTAATACAGGCACGGATAACTCAGTTTTAATTGTAGGAGAAGATGAGAAAAAGACACTTCTATGGATGTGAGGATATCAAAATCCATAGAAATCTCCATATATAAGATATTGGCACAGACATCCAATCTTAAGCAGAGGCAGCATTTTCATGGAGAATGAAGTGCATCCTCTCGTTCCCTTTTGAGAAAGGGATGAAGGGGAGAAGCAGTGCAATCGTGAAGGAAACGGCAATTAAGTGCTCACATTCCTAGCTGTCAGGCCCAGTAAACCAGGGAAGAGACACGGTATTGCTCCCAAGCAGAATTCTTTATTGTTCCACACCTATAGACAGACTCTTGCCAAACTGAAGCACTCTGCTATCAACATCAAGCATCTACTTTGAGAATATTAGTGTTGGAGAGAGACTGGCTGAGCCAGGGGGGAGGAATCAAGTGGGGAATTAGTCTGGAATCTCTACATAGGCACATAAGTGGACAAGTCTGACTCTTCCTTTAAATGCCGTTGAACCTTAATCAGAGAAGATTCCTGGGTTATAGGGATGAGCAACAAAGTAGCTAATTGAACTCTTTGTGTGTGGATCTGGTTGTTTATGCCTGAGAATTAGAGTCTTCACCTCTCCCACAACATGCCTGGACTGTCTGTTGTTCCTCTTGAAATGGACCTCCTCCCGGCTGGGGATCCAGCTTACTACGGTACATTCCATCACGTTAACGAATCTGTCCTGGTTTGCAGAAACGCTACGAGCCCAAGAAGGGACGCTTGATTGTTTGTGGTCATGGGACTTTAGAGCTGGACGGGATCTCCTGCCTCCTCAGTGACGACCACGGCATGACCTGGTATTATGGGAGACAGCCCTTGCATGGCATCCCTTACGGACTGGAGAAGAATTTCAGTGACTTTAATCCTGACGAATGCCAGGTCAGTATAGCTGCGAAGGTCAAACCTTGAGTTTTATGTCAGAATGTTTGCAGCGTGACTACTATTGCGAGACAACCCAGGAGCAAAACACAGGACACAGAGGTTTTGTCTTTTGACAGTGATTTATATACAAGACTACTAAATACATAAATATACATGTTAGGCACATACCAGGCAAGCAATCAGTCTTCATTACTCTGCATGGAGAACTACAATGAAGATAGAACACGAGGAGAGAGAGAGAGAGGGAGGGAGAGGGAGGGAGGGAGGGGAGGGGAGGGAGGGAGGGAGAGAGAGAGAGAGAGAGAGAGAGACCTCTCATGGCTGCCTTTATATAGGCAGCTTCTTAAAGTGGCAATAACCCTGCTGACCCAACCTCAGTCTTAAAGTGGCAATACCCTTGTCATGCCCCTGGTGGAGACTGACTCTGAGGAAGAGGAGGAAGAGCCAACAGGTAGAGGAAGTGTGGCTCCAGAGGTGGTGGAGGAGGCTGGGGAAGGTTCAGAGGCTGGTTGAGCAGTCAGAGGAGGATCCAGGCCCATCCCCTATCCATCCCAGGGCACGCAAGGAGGAGAAGATCAGGGTAAAACGTGATCTACTCAGAAGGAGAGGGCCATGATCCTCTTCATGGGTTGCAGGTGGGAGATTTGCATAAGAGTGTGGGCCTGCCTGCTAACAGATGCTGGAGACAAGTGTTTTAGTTTGAACAAAGGTTTATCTTGGTTGGCATTCTTCCAACGGACCGTTCCTGGTTATCTTTCCGCAGCTGGCAATTATCCTAGTCTGTCGAGGAACTTGATTTAATACGGTTTGTTTTGGGTTTCTGCTTGTTATCTTTTCCCCTTTGGCTGTGAATTGTGTTTCTTGCCTTTGAAATGTTATTTTGAACCTAGTTTTACTCCTCCACTGTGAACAATTAAACAGTGAAGCCAAGTTGAAGGCATTAAAGGACTTTTAGTTACGTTTTGGATTTTGGCATATTTCTGATATACCCTGGATCATCACAACCCTGCTGACTCATTCTCATTGAATCAGCATTTACAGCAGCCTTACAACAGTCGGTCAGCTATTAAATCTCCAATACCTTAAACATTTTACATCTCAGGAAGAATCAAAGGAGTCACTGGTTTAGAACATTATTTGAAGATTGGCGGACATTTATACTTGAACTTGGAGAAAATGTGAGAGAACCACTGAGCTATTAAGGAGGAACCTGGAGAATAAACTGCACAAAGCAGAGACAGAAGGAGATCACGAGAAAGAACATCCTACCTTGATTTTGTTTGCTATACAGGTAGTCCTCGACTTACGGCCACAATTGAGCCCAACATTTCTGTTGCTAAATGAGACACTTGTTAAGTGGGTTTTGCCCCATTTTTACTGCCTTTCTTGCTACCGTTGTTAAGCGAATCACTGCCGTTGATAAGTTAGCAACGCGGTGGTTAAGTGAATCTGGCTTCCCCATTGACTTGGCTTGTCAGAAGGTCGCAAAAGGGGACACAGCAACGGTCATAAACAGGAACCAGTTGCCAAGCGTCTGAATGTTGATCCTGTGATAAATGGGGATGCTGCAAAGGTCATAACTGTGGAAAAATGATTGTGTCATTTTTTTCATTGCTGTTGTAACTTGGAATGGCCACTAAACGAACCGTTGTGAGTCGAGGACTGCCTGTCACAAGGGAGAGAAAAAGGCGTGGGACAGGTTTTCAGGGTGGTGTTCAGCTCCTCGAGGTAGGCCCAATCAAGAAACAGGCGCTGCAGGAATTCCAGGAATGATATTTTATTGTCGTGTGGTGTATATAGTCAGTCATGTTGAAAGCCTGAACAAATGTCCCCACTTACACGAAAATAAAATCAAGGTGAGTTACGGGTTAGTCCTCAGCATATGACCAGAGCTGAGCCCAAACTTTATGTGACCTAGTGAGAAATTTGCTAAGTGCCCCATTTTTACATTTGTTAAGTGAATCACTGCAGTTGATAAAATTGGTAACACAGCTGTTAAGTAAATCTGCCTTCCCTGTTGACTTTGATTGTCAGAAGGTTGCAAAAGGGGATCGTACGACGTTGCAACCATCATAAATGTGAGTCAACTGACAAGCACCAAGTGTAAATCATGTGACCGTGGGGATGTTGCATCACACTTAATGGCCATAAGTGTGAAAAATGGCCATAGGTCACTCATTTCGCCGCCGTTGTAATTTTGAACCCTCGTTAAGCGAACTATTCAAAGGCTACCTGCCTTTTGAGTTTCTTTCTCACATTTCCTTCAATCTGTGGACGGTGTCATCTCTCCCTTCCTTCACAGCTCACTCTTCCCTTCCTCTCCGAGCAACACTCTGACACTTTGCCAAGGTCAATTCTGCATTCCTTTTACAAATTGCACAAGGTTATCTGATCACCTTGTAGTTGTTTTTCCATCGAATGGAAAGTCTCTACGTTTCAAATGGATTTGAAAGAGAAAGGGTGACCTGGACCTCTGGTCTTCATGTTTCCAGGAAAGGGGTTTGAAACCCAGGCAAGGTGACCCTGTCTAAATTCATTCAGAAGTTCGCCCCACTGAGTTCAGGAGAAGCCGTATTCAGACAATAAAAGTGCATCCAAGAAGGATTTGAATGTTCATGTAAGAGAATCAGGGGTGAGCTTCAAAAATTTTAGCAAAGGGTTCTCTGCCCAGTTGCTGGGCGGGCGTGGCCATGGTGGGCGTGGCCTAGTCAGCCTCCTGCACCATGGTGAGGGTTTTTTTTTTTGCCCTACCCGGGCTCCAGAGGCTTTCCTTGAGCCTCCAGGAGGGAGAAAACAGCCTCCCCGGGCTCTGGAGGCTCCCTGGAAGCCGGAAATGGGCCCACTTCCAGCCTTTCTGAACTTCCAGGAGGCCTGAGCCTCAGCGCGTACCCTGCACTTACCTACATCCAAAACGGGCCACGTGGGGACTCCTGGGAGGGGAGGCGTGGCCGTGGCCAGCCAGGAGTGGGATTTGGGGGTTCTCCCGAACCCCTGCAGACCCCCAGCAGCCCACCCCTGAAGAGAATCCTTAGAAATTGGCAGACGACTTCTAGGGGGCCAAACCGAGGAGAGCGTTTTACACTGCTGTGTTTTGACGTCATGCCTCAGCTGTTTTATTATCTGATCTCTTCTTTCTCTGAATGGCTCTGTCGATGTGGCTCTGATGAGGTGGACTCAGTTGGTTAATGAACTGCCAATACTATAGCTAGTCTTCAACTTAACAACCAGAAGAGCCCAAAATTTGTATTGCTAAGTGAGCCAATTGTTGAGTTTTGTTCCATTTTACGACTTTTCTTGCCACAGTTGTCTTGTCAAAGCCAACTTCAGGCAGCTTACAATTAAATGACAAGAGTTGTCTCTTTCTATGGCAAGGGTGTTCAAACTTGGCAAGTTTAAGACTTGTGGACTTCAACGCCCAGAATTCCTGAGCTAACATGGCTGGAGGAGGAATTCTGGGAGTTGAAGTCCACAAGTCTTAAAGCTGTCAAGTTTGAAGACCCCTAGATGGTTGAGACAAATTGGAGTGTGAAATCTTACCCACACGAGGAGAAAAAGAATATTAGTGCTTATCCCAAATCATCTTAATTTCATCCGCAGGCTCATGTGTTCTGTGTACTAAAGATTTTGCTTTTAAAAACCATGCTATAGATGACATAGCTGGGATTGGAACCTAGTTATTGTGGCTCACAAACCGTGGCAATGGAAAGTGTGAGGTCATACCAAAATATAGAAGAAACGAAAGAATATGACTGCTTATCCCAAATTTTCTTAGCTTCTCATCGGTCTCCTTTTCGAATAGCCCTATGAGCTGCCAGATGGCTCCGTGGTGGTGAACGCCCGGAATGAAAATTTCTACCACTGCCGATGTCGCATTGTGGTTCGCAGTTACGACGGTTGCGATACCCTTCCGGTGGAGAACGTGAAATTTGATGAGGGTTTAGTGGATCCCGCAGTGGCTGCAGGAGCTCTTGTCAAATCTGGTTTGGTTTTCTTCACCAATCCAGCCCATCGTCAGCTGCGTGAGTAAAAATAATCAAAATATTGGGATTTTCTCTCTGTTTATATATTTGTGCCTGAAAGTACAAGTTGCACAATGCTACCGTTTACTTAACCTTGGTGTATTACGCCATAATTGGCCAAATTCACTCAAATTGCTAGGGGTGTGAAATGTTTTTGCTGATTCTTTTTCTTTTACACAACTGTCCTCTCCCTACACACATTGAAAGGTCTGCAAATGACACAAGAGATTTTTGTATCCATAGTACTTCTATTTGTTGTGCAATTTGCTTAACCTTCTGTTCATTCTGTTAATTTCCCTATTAAACCTTGGAACTAAAATTACAAGTGGAGACCATTACTATACAAAGGTTAATCATTGTAGCATGCCTGTATTTCATATGTATGTATGTATGTATGTATGGTAGTCAGCTTTGTTTGGGTATTTTCCCAAGACTTTTCAAGAAGAATGTAGAATAACAACGGACGGGGAAACATGTGAGTGGGCTTGCTTTTGAGACTCTGAAATGCTTAACCTGTCAAACTTCTTGTTAAAATATCCCAAAGGTGCTTTTTTCAAAAGGCAACTGGACTTTGTTTTTCCACAAAGGCGTTTCAACTTCTCATCCAAGAAGCTTCTTCAGTTCTGACTGAAGGGTGGAAGGATTTATATTCCTTTGCAGTCATCTGGTTGTTAACACTCTTTCTGAGAGTCACTGAGGTTTATCTGTGTTCTCAGGGTCACCTGAATAGTGCAAATGGGTGTGGATCCTTCTTGGAACTGCTGAAACGACTGTGTTGTAAACAGATAGGTGGTGTCGTATCCTTCCCTTTCTGTGGAGAATGTCCAGAATGTGGCCTTTCTGTCTTCAAAAGAGTAAACTTCCTGTTAAAATGTGCAAAAATCTCTAAACCAATCTTTCTCAACCTTAGAAGCTTTAATATATGGAGACTAACTCCCAGCCTCCTGGCTGGGGAATCCTGAGAGTCGAAGTCCACGCATCTGAATAGTTGCAAGGTTGAGAAATATAGGTGGTCCTCAATTTGCAACCATTCGTTTAGTGACCGTTTGAAGTAACCGCTTGATAAGCTCGACGGTGAATTCTTTCCTTTCCATTGCAGGGGTTAACCTGACACTACGCTGGAGTTTCACCAACGGGTCTTCTTGGTGGAAGGAACCCCTGCTGATCTGGAGAGGCTCCAGCGGCTATTCCTCCATGACTACCCTGGAGGGAAATTCTCTGCAGGATGACCACTCTCTCTTTATCATTTACGAGAAGGGCGAGGTCGAATATACAGAAAGCATCTCCGTGGTCAAGATTAGCCTCAACGGGCAGCTCTGACCCTCTTTTCCGGGGCATCTTAAAACATTATCAAAGTTTGTCACGGCAGGGAAAGGAAAATGTGTGCTTGGACTGGGGAGAAACCAAACGAACTGGAGTTTTGGGGATCTAAAGAATGCAATTGAAGGATGTGGGTAGAGAGCTTGGTCATGTCCCAGCAGAAGTCGGACCAGCTAAAGAGGACCGCATATTTATTTTCCAGTCTTTGTGCCTGGGCAACACACACTCCTGAATCTCTCTTATTATTTCTTTCTCTGACCTTCTGAGGTCGAATCTGTTTTTCCTGTGCTTTTCCTCACATTTATGGAATGTGTATAGATTTATAGAAATTGTGGGTAGAGCAGGTAGGGATGTGCAGATCCCTGGAACGAAACAGAAAGAGGCAAACTCGATCAGGTTTGTGAAGAATAAATTTATGCACTTTCTACTGACTTTCTGAACAATAAAATGGAATCAAGAGCAGAAGCTGTCCCTTGCTGGATCCAAAACACCCCACCCCCCGTAAAACTGACGCACCTGAGGGGTTCGCAAGCAGAGTGTGTGGGAGAGCAAGCCGGTTTTTTCTTCTGCGTTGCCAACATGTGTAATTTCAAAGGAATTTATTTAAAACCTGTTTTTCTGATGGGACAAGTTGCCTGTACGGCTTTACAAAAACATAGGGCCGTGAATTTTAAGAGCACAAAATAAGAGCGGGGGTGGGGCTGAGAGGTGAACAAAGCGGGGGACAGTTTTGAGATAAAAATATTTATGGAGGTTCTCAGTCATCCAGGTCATGGTTGTCCCAAAGGTGCTTTTTCAAGAGGCAACAACTGGACTTCGTTTTTCCTTGAAGACATTTTGCAGAAGTTCAGAACTGAAGAAGCTTCTCGGGTGAGAAGCAAAAACATCCTGAAGGGGAAAAAAGTCCAGTTGTTGCCTCTTGAAAAAGCACCTTTGGGTTGTAAAAATATTCTTCACTGAAATGACCTCTCTGCATCTGCTACTTCTCTGCTGATGGATTGCAGGAGTGCAAAATCCATGGGCTGTATTGAGCCCCCCCCCTCCAAAAATAAACCCCTTAGTTTTTACTCCTCCAGTACCTCAAGATCAGCAAAATGGCTGCATTTTGGTGGCCTGTCTTTTAAGGAGGGTTCGTGGATGGTTTGTAGCCCATATATTTTGTTCCCATTTCTACCTTAAAAATCCCAGCCTTAAATTTGCCAACCTAAAGCTACTAAGCTTGAGAAATGCTGCTATAACCGGTTGGAGTGCTTACCTTGGTTTATATTTTAATGACGAATCTTCATGGATGTGTTTCTTTCTTTATGCCATAAAGTTGTGGGCCCTTTGGGCTAGAGGATAATCTTGCACACCTTTTGCTTCTTTTCATTCACACATCTGAGTCGATTTTTAGAATGTAGTCCTCCAATTATCTGATGTCCTCTATAAAGTCCATATTGTGACTGTGTGAATCAGTTTAGCCCTCGGGGGAATTATTTTTCTGCCTTTCCTTTATTGTGCAATCTTGTTTGAGGGGCCAAGTTTTGGGAAATGGATGTTTTTTTTTTAAATTATTGGTGTGACGGTCATTTTATTTTCAACATTTTTTTTAACTGATTGACTATAAAGCATCAAGTCCTTTTGGATGTGGGTGTTAGGAGTCGAAAACAACCAGATAGCAGATAATCACTCAAACAATTCTAATACCCTGGTGTTAGAATCCAAATTCTTTTCATCGTTTAAAAGAAGATAAACCGGTAATTCCTGACACCAAAACCACCCATAGATGAGTGGATGGCAGTTAATAAAGCTACAAAGCTCACCTTGAAGTCCAGGCAACAGTCAGGTAGCAAAATTGACGTCATGAAGCTAATTCTTGGAAGAAGAAATAAGAGATAGGAGCTCAAGGTTATAATGTACGCTATAGATTTTACACATGCTCATCAGAAGCGTCATGGAATAAAGCTTTAGTAGGTGGTAATTCAAGCAAGGCCTTTTTTTGTCATTTTGAACACAACAGTTTTAAGTGATGGGTGCTGAAAGAAAGAGGACAAGTTACAGCATGGGAATGGCTTATTTTGATCCAGGCGTGCTAACCTTTATTTAGTTGCTTATGGGCTCTGATAATAAAATAAGCCAATAAAAGCAAATCCTGGTAAATGTCCTCCAAAGAAATTACAAGACATAATAAATTGTCTTAAGGAAGGAAAACTCAAAAAGGAGAGGGGAAGGAACCCTTATTTCTACCATAGCAGTTTTATTTATTTTAATCTTGGTTTGCCTTTTTAATCTTTATTTTTTATGAGGAGTGCCTTTTTCCAGACGTTGGAAGTAAACTCTCTTCAGTTACTGGAAGATTATTAAATATTTAAATAAAAGATTAATGAAATGTGATTCCTGTTGTTAAATAAGCAGAGGTTTATCTCAGATTTCAGCTTCTTGAGCCATAACTTATACTGTATATATCTGTTTGTATATAAACTTCCCAATGCCTTTGGAGAAATTAATTAAAAGGCTTAGTATTTATTTTTGAAACTGTTTTATTGCTGACTGGGAGGCCCTTACAGACATTTCGGTGAAATGGGGAAAAAATGAACATGCTTTATGGTTTGGATGATAAGGAAAGATAGATAATAGAAAAAAGTAAGTTTATTTTTGTAACCATAAAGTATGAGATAATTTTGTATGTGTTATAATAATTGGAAAGAAAATTGGAAACTACTTTTCTTTCTTTCTTCTTTCTTTCTTTCTTTCTTTCTTTCTTTCTTTCTTTCTTTCTTTCTTCACTTTTAGATTTTTCTGTTCTTTTTCCTTTTTTCCTTTTCCTTTACATTCGTTCTTGTTAGTTTTTATCCTCTGTTTAAAATAGCTGATTAAAAAAATGTGTATTTTTTAAAAGTGTATCATTGCCCTTCAGCCTATTTCAGGATACAGGCACCCAAGCCCTAGTCACATCCCGTCTTGACTACAACAATGTGTTCATATTGGGCTGCACTTGAAAAGCATCTGGAAACTTCAATCAGTTCAAAATGCAGTGGCCTGCATGGTTCTGTACAAGCTTAGATTTGCACATGTGTCACCACTTTTGAGGGAGCTACATTGGCTGCTAATTTGTCTCCTGGTCCAATTCAAGGTGCTGGCCTGGTTGTCACCCTTAAAGCCCTACCTGGCCTCTGGTTTGAAAAGTCCTCGTTTCAGAGTTATACCTGACCCATCAGACTGTGTCCCCTTTCTTAAGGAGATCCATCTGTTGGGATCAAGAAAAAGGGCCTTTCTGTGGTAGCCCCTTCCCTGTAGAACATCATCACTCCAGAATGTCCCAAAGGTCCTTTTTTTTTTTTTTCAAGAGGCAACTGGACTTTCTTGTTTTTCTTTGAAGATGTTTAGCTTCTCATCCAAGAAGCCTCTTCAGTTCTGACTGGATGGTGGGGAATGGAAGGATTTATATTTCTTGCAGTCAGCTTGTCGTTATAAATCCTTCCATTCCCCGCCATCCAGTCAGAGCTGAAGAAGCTTCTTGAATGAGAAGCGAAATGTCTTCCAAGGAAAAACAAGAAAGTCCAGTTGCCTCTTGGGGGTGGAAAAAAAGCACCTTCGGGATGACCACATGGGAAGGAACTTGGATTTAGACCACATTGAGGCCACTTGGAGGTCTATCCATGCCCTCAGGGTCACCTGAGTAGTGCAAATGGGTGTGGAGACTTCTTGGAACTGTTGAAAAGACTGTGTAGTAGACTGGAGATAGATGACTACTCAGGTAGCCCTGAGGACACATAAACCTCCAAGTGTCCTCAACAACTCTAAAAGAATGCAAATTACCAACTGTCTGAAAGGAATATAAATCCTCCCATTCCCCACCATCCAGTCAGAGGTGAAGAAGCTTCTCAGATGAGAAGCGAAACGTCTTCAAAGAAAAACAACAAAATCCAGTTGCCTCTTGGTAAAGCACCTTTGGGACAACCGTGATCTGAATGACTGAGGCTCTCCATAGATATCCCTCCAGAAATACATTTGGGCACATCTTCAAAAGGCCTGAAGTAGTTTTGCTGATGGGCCTGGGGATCCCACTGTGATAGGGAGCCCATCAAGTGATTGGTTTGACAGTTGTCACCATGGGAATGGATTTATTGGCTTTTGTATTGGAGTTTTATTTTTGTTAAGCCTCCTGGAATCACTCTTAAGTGACACCATACAAATTTTAATAAAATAAAATAGGCCTTAAATCTACTTCCTGTTTTGCTAAGGTTTTATGGAACCTTAGGCATTAGCCTGGCTTAGATTAGATACCCTGTTCTACTCACATATAACTGAAAGTAAATCCAACAATGAAGGTTTCTAATCCAGTGATTTATCTCTAGTAAGTACAATGTGTCCACCTGATGTGTAAAGACATTTTAGAATTGATAAAGTATAAGAAGGCTTATGAAAAAATGCATGCTGGATTTACTTTAATTAATAACAATTTTAAACACAGTTGTTAAGAGGAGTTGGCAACCTTTTCACAGGAGCTGTTTTTCTCCCAGAATATTTCAGATTTCACCTCCCATAATCTTGGCTCTTGTGGTGATTACAGGAACTGATGCATGTTAGTTCCTATGGAGATAGGAACATTTTGCTTATTCCAGGAGCGATGCAGTGTGACACTTGGTCTCAACGTCAGCAGTTTTAAGATTGTAGCCTTCAAATTGGCTGTGGAATTCTGGGCGTTGAAGTCCACACCTCTTAAAATTGCCAAAGTTAGTAAACACTTGTCTAGAAGCGGTGAATCTTATTACCAAATTGCCCCTTGTGTAACCTTGGGCCAGGCCTCATCATTAGACAGAAAGATTAGGCCTGGGCCAGTGGTGAGATTTAATTTTATTATTGGTTCTGTGGGCATGGCTTGGTGGCCGTGGTGTGGCTTGGTGGCCATGGCAGAGGAAGGTTACTGTAAAATCCCCATTCCCTCCCCACCCCACTAACCTGCTTTCCAGCTCCGTTCTCCTGTGCAGGGCAACCAAAGAAGACCCTGCCGATCAGCTGGGACTCGGGAGGCAGAGAAGAGATGGGGGTGGGGCCAGTCAGAGGTGGGATTTGCCGGATCTCAAAACTACTCAAAATTTCCACTACCGGTTCTCCAGAAGGGAGACAAGGAGCAATATTTCACTGGGTGGTTATGAAACAAAAGAAGGATCTTGCCATCCTGAGCTTCTTGGAAGATGTTAGGAGAAAAATGATCACGTCAGTGACATCATTAATGTTGAACACCATGTTGTTGTTTGGCTCTTAAGTGAGACATCCTGGTATCCTAACCCGACTGGCTTTGTCTGCTAATGAGGACAGATGACAACTACACTAAACACGTATTCAAATCCCTAGAGCGAAGCAAACTTGTACAGGAAGTCCTTGATTTACAACAGTTAGTGACTGTTCAAAGTTACAACGGCACCGAAAAAAGTGACCTATGACCGTTTTTCTCACACATACAACCTAAGTAACAGCCCCATGATCATGTCCAAATTCAGATGCTTGGCAGCTGGTTTATACTTACGACCATTGCTGTGTCCCAAGGTCACGTAATCACCTTTGGCTACCTTCTGGCAAGCAAAGTCAATGGGGAAGCCAGATTCACTTAACAACTGGGTTACTAACTTATCAACTGCAGTGATTCACATAACAACTGTGGTAAGAAAAAAAAAGTAAAATGGGGCAAAACTCACTTTAACAAATGTCTCAGTTAACAACATAAATTTTGGCTCCATTGTGGCCGTAAGTTGAGGACAACCTGTATCTTGCCAACAATTAAGCAGCAGAAACGCTGGAGCAGTCGGGCACTAGGACCTTGAAGTGCTTTGCTGAGAAGTGGTACCCACTCTGGCTGGAAGCAGAAGGCATCACCAGAGCCGCTTGCAGCATCGTTGCTACGCATCTATTGCTACAGAAATATGGCCAGCCAGACCCAGGGAATTCAGCAGCTGCTGCAGGCAGAGAAGAGGGCTGCAGAGAAGGTGGCAGAGGCTCGAAAACGTGAGTTGGCGCTCCAGATTGTTAGGGAAAGATGCTGGAAGCGGGGTGGAGGCTGACCAACAAGGTATCCATGTTCTCAGGGGGACAATGGCAGCCTCCTTCAGTTTCTCGTGGAGAGGAATGGCAGGTGTTTTTTTTTATGAGGAATTCTGGGCCTTGAAAGGTCATCCCTGCTTTGTCCTTGGACTTCTTTTTCTCCCTCCCAGGAAAGGCCAGGCGGCTGAAGCAGGCCAAGGAAGAAGCCCAGGCTGAAATTGAGCAGTATCGCTTGGAACGTGAGAGAGAATTCCAGCAAAAACAACAGGCGGTGAGATGGAGGAGTTGGAGCTTTTACTTAGCCTTGGAGCGATGAAAAAACAGGGTGAAACACAGAGGAAGGGTGGGGAGGTACATAAAAGATGAGAAGGAGATGTGGATGATGGAGTCGGGGCTTCTAAGAAGCCTGGTGAGAGAATTTTGGAGAGGAGGAAGGGAAAAAGGGTGGTACAGAGGTCTGGAGTTGGGGCAAGCCTTTACAATTTCTATTGCTGTTTGAGACAGGGTGTTTCGCATCAGGATCAAGGTTTTTGAGATAAGATATTTGATGAGCCCAAAATGTTTTGCTTTCTGTTGAAGTCAAGGGATGTAAGACCATAACCTGGCCACCTTGCAAACAAAATACAAATAAGTTCCTGAATAGAAACACATCTAAAGATGTAATGGAATCTATGGGTGACCTTGGGGGTGTGTGAAGGGAAGAGATGCTGCCTTGAAAAGAACCAGACGAGAGAAGTAGGAGCCCACAAAGGCCTAATGGTCAGAGGAAAGAAACGTAGGAAAGACCCACTCAAATCAAGCATTAAAAATGGTGGTGGGAAGTTTGCACTTTCAGACTTACACATTTATGTTAATGTAGCCTTACAATTAAATAGAATGAGCTCATCTGGTTGTATTACCTGGGAAGACTGACAAAATATAACCCTTCACTGTTTTTTTCCTGTCTGCTCAAATCATCTGTCAAAAGTTGCCCACCTCACTTTACCAAACAGTAGAGCCAATCTGGGAATGTTTCAAGATCATCCCTAAATCTGTGGGATATAAAGATTAGATCACTTGATCTTCCACCCTGGAAAGCTCACAAGGCAGTACTGCTTTCTCAAGCAAGACTACAAATGTCGTTGACAGAATACGATTTTTCAAAATTGTGATATTTATTCTTTCTTATTGAGCAGTGACTTTTGTGTTGTCTTATTGCGTCACCAGCTGTTAAGTTGGAACAGCACACATTTAAAGTACAAGTAGTTCTCCGCTTATGACTGGTTTCTTAACTATTGTTTGAAGTTACAACAGACTCACAAAAAGTTACTTGTGATCAGTGCTCAAAGTTACAATTGTTACACAACCCCTGCAATCCCATGGTTGCATTTCAGGCATTTGGCTACATTTAGGACAGGTTGCAGCATCAGTGACTTGTTTAGCGACCTTTTGTAAAAACAGTTACAAAATAGAGTCAGGTCACATAGAATATCTCAGTTTATGACCACAATAATGTATAACTCAAATTCTGGTCCCAAGTGTATACAGGTAGTCCTGGACTTACGACCACAGTTAAGCTGAGAATTTATGTTGCTAAGTGAGAAATTTGTAATGTGAATTTTGTCCCTTTTTATGACTTTTCTTGCCACATTTGTTAAGTGAATCACTGCAGCTGTTAAATTAGTAACATGGTTCTTAAGTGAATCTGGATTCCCCATTGACTTTGCTTGTCGGACAGTCGCAAAAGGGGGGTCACATGACTTTGGGACACAGCAACAGTCATAAATATGAACCAGTTGCCAAGCGTCTGAATTTTTGATCACCTGGTCATGGGGATACAGCAAAGGTTGTAACTGTGAAAAATGGTCATGCCACTTTTTTCAGTGCCATTGTAATTTAGAACTGTCACTAAACCATCACACCATCATCTTCTTCTTTTAATGACCCCATAATCCCTTGCAGGGTGGAGTCTGGGCAACTGAATGGAGCTAGCGGAGTGTTTGCTGGCCGGATGCCCTTCCTGTCGCCAATGCAGAGTTTTGTTCAGCAGATATATTCCCATGGTGCCCAGAGAGAGAAATATCTGCCTCTACCTAGGATTGAACTCACAGCCTCCTGATTGTGAGGCGAGAGCTCCACCTCTAGGCCACTGTTAGGAATGTGAGTCACCTAACAGCTATTTGGGATGGAAATCTATAAACCAGGATAGACATTTTAATACTGTACCTTTAAGTAAATGCCTAAAACTGCAATTGGGTATGGTTCTGCAAATGGCCATAAGATTTGAACCAGAAACCTGGGTTGTTTAGTCTGAGTCTCAGAAGAGAGTGTGAGTGTATCTCTGTTTCCTTCTGTTGGAAAGAGTTGCCGTTCCTCCATTTTTCCCTATTGACTGTTATTCTTGGATTTGATGTAAGTCTGTTACTGAACTGTTTTTGATACTGGACTTTGATATTGGAATTATCCCTGGACTGAACACTGACTGCTTTACCGGTGAATGACTTGGACTGTGTGTAGGACTTTGCTTAAACGTTTATTGAAAGTAAAAACATACATTAACTGTACAGTGTATCTGTGTGCTGTGTGTGTATTATTCAAACACTCCTCTCAAATACGTCTCCCTGTATGCGCTCATTCTCCTAACGGGGAATTACCTCAACAGCCACCACATTACTCTTTGAGCCGTCACTAAATGAACTGTTGGTATTCGAGGACTACCTGTAGGAGTGTTTCATTTCTCATTATTTTGGAACAACCTTGATTTTTTCTTCTTCTTCTTCTTCTCTAGGCTCTGGGCTCGCAGGGGAATCTGTCCGCAGAGGTGGAGGCTCAGACACGCAAGAAGCTGCAAGCTATGCATGGAGGGCAGGCTCGGGGCAAGGACCAAGTCTTGCGTCACCTTCTCACTACTGTATGGAATGTGCAGCCCCAAATTCACCCCAATTACCGCTTGTCTGTCTAAAGGGCCTTGTGCCCCTGCCTGCAGTTGTCTGGTGGATTTCTGATATACTCCTTATTCTCCAAACAATACACTTTAGATGCCCAAATACTCAAGTTCCCTATTTCCACTATAACTTCACTGTATCCTGCAAGTCTAACATCCTGTGCTCCCTGACGCTTCTCATTCATCCTTCCTCCTTCTTTTATTGTATCTTGAATCAAGGCTATGAATTGCATTTGATAGTCTGAGTAATCCATTATGCCCAAAAGATGCAAAAGTAAGCAATCAACTTTCTATTTGCACTGGACACTGATCACGCGCTTCACACAAAGGCACACACACACCAGTTTTCAAAGTACATCTATAGATTATTCTCTATTCTCCAGGATTACAGATAGTCCTTAACTTATAACCATAATCGAACCTGCAATTACGGTTATAAGTTGTGATGGGTCTTTAAGCAAGTCATTATGTGACCGCTTCTGATTTTATGATTTTGTTTCTGTGGCGGTTATTAAGCAAAGGCCATGGTCATAAAGTATATCCACTGTTTGCTATCTCCGGTTTTTTTTCTGGAAGTAAACTGGAAGTAAAAACATCTTAACTTGCTCAGGCATCCACAAGCACGCTGCAATGAGCTATACGCAAGCCAATTGCGAAGCATCCAAAATGTGATCACGTGTGTTTATGCGAATTTTGAATCAGGATTTTTTTTACTTTTTCAGGGTCTGTTGGAACTTTGAACAGTTGTTAAGCATCTGGACGTAAATCAAGGACTACCTGTAATTGTTTTGGGATTGTTGGGAGTTTTGGGGGGGGCTTAGTTTTCCTTTTTAAAATCCGAAGAGCTGATCCTTCCAAAACCGGTTCACTTTCTTTTGCCAACTCAGTGCTGGATCTTTCCTTCCGTATTGCACAATCCCGTGGCATGAAAAAGTATGTCTGGAAATGTGAAGGTTGCAAGGTTGCCAATGTGTTACCTGCTACGTGTATTTGTGTGCTTGAGACTGAGAGGTTCTATTTCTGCTCCGTTGTACTCTGCTTAATTTGTTTCCTATGATCTCGACAATCCTGTTTATCCGTAACTGAACAGTTCAATAAAAGTGGCAGGCAGTTAAAACAAGGGGAAAAAAATGTAGTGTTTTTGTTTTTCTGGACAGTTCTACAGCAGGAGGGATCGTGCCCTCAACTTACGACTACAATGGAGATATAGCCCTCAACTTACGACTACAATGGAGCCCAACATTTATATTGTTAAGTGAGAAATCTGTTAAGTGAGTGTTGCCCCGTTTTAGGACTTTTCTTGCCATATTTGTTAAGTGAATCCCTGTTGTTAGGCACATGGTTATTAATGAATCTGGTTTCCTCATGGATTTCGCATGTTTGAAGTTTGCAAAAGGGGGTCATGTGACCGTGGGACACGGCAAACCGTCATAAACATGAGTCGGTTTGTCAAGCACTCAAATGCAAATCACGTGAACATGGGGATGCTGCAACGGTCATTTAGTGTGAAAAATGGTCCTAAGTCACTTCTTTCAGTGCCGCTGTAACTTCGAACGGTCACTAAACGAACTGTTGTAACTCGAGGACAACCTGTCATTGTTGGTTTAAACCACACGAACTGGCTGCTCCTTCCAGCAGAACAAGATTTCTCTTTCCTAATCTGGCATCTTCCAAACATTTTTGCAATTCATCTCTCATTGTCTCCTACTAGTACTATGTCATGGAATTGGGCAGCAAATGTGAAGTCAGAGATGCTGACACAAATATTTGGTTTTATATAAATAAATAATATGTTTTAAACCGCCGCAAAGCACTGTGAAGCGGTATATAAGTCTAAGTGCTATTGCTATTGCTATTTTACATCAATATGTGCAGCATACATGATCGTCGGGATCACAGAGCATAAAGGGCACTCAGAAGAAAAAAAGCGGGAAAATCGGGAAACTCCCCCTCCGCACCCACAAGCGACCAATCACAGTGCACATTGCCTCATGCAGGAGCCAGCGCTTTCCAACCAATCAAACACAACTGTGTGTTTTGGCTCACTGCACAAACACACACACACACACACACACACACACACACAAACACACACACACGGTCCAGCTATTAAATTTAAATATCTTAACAATATTAAGACTATTCTCTGGGCGATGCAATTTGGGCCACCAGAATAGAGAAATCTGGCACAAACATCTTAAGCAATTGAAAAGATTTTAAATACACATAAAGCCAAATGCAAAAAGGAAAGGGAAAAAAAAAGGATTAACATAGCCAAACACAGAGAAAAAAATCCAGAACCTACAACAAAGCAGTTTTTTTTTTAAAATACATCCAATTAGATTGTGTTTTAAAATGATCCAGCCTGGTAGGAATCCTTCAGATGGAACAAAATACTGGAGAAAAGGCACCTGGGATGGAAGAATAACACAATAACAGAGTTAGAAGGGAGCTTGGAGGTCTTCTAGTCCAACCCCTTGCACAAGCAAGAAACCCTATACCATTTCAGATGAATGGTTGTCAATCTCTTTTCTTAAAAACTGGGAGCATTCACAACTTCTTGAGGTAAATTGTTCCACTGATTAATTGTTCTCCCTGTCAGGAAATTTCTCCTGAGTTCTAGGTTGCTTCTCTCCCTGGTTAGTTTCCATCCATTGCTTCTTGTCCTGCTTTGGAGAATAAGCTGACCCATTTTTCGTTGTGGCAGTCCCTTAGATATTGGAACACTGCTATCATGTCACCCCTAGTCCTTTTTTTCCATTAAAGTAGACATACCCAATTCCTGCAAGATGTGCATTTTGTGTATTTGCTGCTGAATTCAAGAAGAGTTTGCAGGCCATATTGGGATGGTGTCTTCAGGCAGAAGGAAAGACACAAAGAAAACAAAAGTTGGAAAGAAATAGATTTTGTTGCTAAGAGATGAGATGAAGTACACACCTGCAAATTCATGGGAAGAGGTAGAGAGCAGCTGGTTAATTTAAACAAAACTGGGTGCTCTGCAGTCATGAAAATGACCTTGACGAACCTGTTCAGAAATCATTAGAAAAACACAATTTAGAGAAACGTACTTTGAGCCCAGGAGAAGAAAAAGTATTAGGTTGGCTCCCTCCTGATTCCTTGGATTATAAGGAGGGGAATAAATATGCAGTTGGACATGCAAGATTTTGTTACTATAGCCCAGGGGTGTTTAAAAACCGGCTCTGCTAACTCCAGTGCTGCCACGGCGCCATGACGCTAGCTAATGGAACAGCCGACTGGCATATTAAGGATTGTCATTCAGCTTTGCTTTCTTCCAGCTTGCAAAATTCCCAAAATTGTAACCACCTGCTCTTGCAAGCAGGTACAGGCCAGCTACAGCACACAATTACTGTAGTCTAACTTAACAAAGTGTAGTTCTAGCATTCTTCTGTGCTAGTTTCCTATCCTGATTTTTGAAGGGCTGACAGCTCTTGGGATGTGTAGGACTACACCTCTTATCATTTGCAGTCAGCATGTCCATTGTTTCTATGACCACACCTCAATACAATTATCATGTAAGTCTGCATCTAGGAGTCCTAGTGGACTACAGCTGCCAAAAAAAAAGTCAATGCAGTCCTAGGCTGCATCAACAGAGGGAAAGTATCAAGATAATGTAAAGTATTAGTACTGCTTTATACAGATAGTCCTCAACTTATGACACACAACTGAGCCCAGAATTTATATTGCTAAGTGAAAAATGTGTTCCCTGGAGTTTTGCCCCGTTTTACGACTTTTCTTGTCACATTTATTAAGTGAATCCCTGCAGTTGTTAAATTAATAGCAAGGTTGTTAAGTGAATCTGGCTTCCTCATTAACTTTGCTTATCAGAAGATGGCAAAAATAATCACATGATCCTGGGACACTGCAACTGTCATAAATATGAACCAATGGTCAAGCATCAAAATGTAAATCACATCATGGGGATGCTGCCACAGTCATAAGTGTGAAAAGTCACTAAACAAACAGTTGTAAGTCGAGGACTACCTGTACTGCACTGGTAAGACCTCACTTTGAATTCTGCGTCCAGTATGGTTAGGGGATTGGAGGATAAAACATGCAATGAACAGTTGCAGGAACTCGGCATATCTAGTCTAACAAAGAAAAGGAACAAGGGTGTCTTCCAATACTTGAGGGGCTGCCACAGACATGAGTGGGTTGGCCTATTCTCCAAAAGCACTTGAGGGCAGGACAAGAAGTGACACTTGAAAATTTATCATGGAGAGGAGCAACTAGAACTAAGGAGAAATTGACTGACACTGAGAACAATTAATCAGTGGAACAGCTTGCCTTCAGAAGGTGTGGGTGCTCCATCAGTGGAGGTTTTTAAGAAGAGATTGACAACCATTTGGTATAATGCCTCTGGCTTAAGCAGAGGGTTGGACTGGAACACCTCCAAAGTCCCTTCCAATTTTGTTATAGTGTTACATCTATTCACAGCACACCATAAACAGTTTATAAAAGACACATTGGAAGGCTATTGCACAGATTATATGATGTGGAACATGGTGTTAAATCTCTTCTGCTTCAAGTCATAGATTCATGATGAGAAGAAGTTTTGGAGTCCACTTGGCATTTTTTTGTCTGCTCAAACTATTACTTGAGTTCTCTAGAGGCTCAACCTATCTTTCATGCACTCTTCCTATCATCTCATGATCCCTGATCTACTATCATCCTTGTAAATCTGGCAGCAAAAACTTTGAACAGTGCAAAGAAACAACATTCTGGTGAGAGAGAAGTTTCCTTAGGATGGGCTTCAGCATGAGTCTGAAAGCTTAGAAGACTCTGATCTCGGTGACTGACCCAGATTGGCTCCTGAAACATTATATACATATAATGTATATTTGGACACATATATTTGCCTTCATTAGTGAGAGGAATAACTGGTTGTAATTAGAGGATGTCTACGGTATTACATTTAACATTGGACCAGCACTAATAAATTAAGGACCTACATTTTGCTTCTGCCCAAATCAGTATAAGACTTAAGGAAAATACACTCCAGCTTCCAGAGAAGTTGTCAAAGGACCGCG